GATGACACTTGAATTGTCATGAAGCCACATTACTTATTTTCAGCAGAGGACGGATATGTCAAGATTGTAGACAGGATGAAAGTAGAGCTAGGTCTGCTTATAATCATGCATGACCAGCTGCTCTGAAGCAGTAACAACTCTATGTGTGGAAGCAGTGCATGGAAGTTATGAATGTGTATAGCAGTCTGCAATTGGAGTACATTTAAATATTGACCACAGGCTAAACAGCTTGGACAACTGTTATGCTTTTACAAAATTGCTATTATAATGGGGAAATGGCTGATAGTGTCTTGCTTATGCATATAGAGCAGTTATCAAGAATTTACATGCTACTGTACAAAGACAGCAGGACTGGAAGAGTAGGTTTAAATGAAATGAAATGTCCCAAATAGCTTGTCCCAGAAAACCTACCTCAAACTTTAGATGCAATATGCTTAGCCTCAAAAACACAGATGAGAAAGAAAACAGTCTTCAAAAACTTTGTCAGACACTTCATGTGCAAAAATAGAAAGTTAAAACTTCAACAAATGATTGCTGGTTCACGATTTACAAACCGGTAGCTTTACAGAAAAAAAATGCATCTAGCTAAATATATACTGTGATCTCAAACTCCCCAGCTAGCCTACTGAAAACCTCTCATTAGTTTAAAAAATTTACAATTCTAGGTGTATGCTGAGAATTACTTTATCCTACAGAATGAATTGCTAAATTTCTTCTAATCTTTGATATTTAACTCTGTGAGGAACTGCTACCTTTATGGCTAGCAGACATTTCACTATGTCATGCATATAGTGCTAGAAGCAGTGCCATTTTCTAGTCTTACAACCTCCCTCCAAGCCAACAGCAGAGTTATATTTGGAAACATTTTTTATTTACAGACTCTATTTTATATAGTCACCCATGAAGCTCCAAAGAGAAGACAGACCTGTCATAAAGAAAATTAAACCAACCTTTTCCTTCAAACTGCTCTTTGGAATGTCCTGATTCATTATACCTAAAGAGCCAGACTGGTTTGTTCACTACTAGGGAAGTTACCTGGATTCAACCTATTGATTCTCTGCAGATACAACAATAGAAAAACCCCCCCAAAACAGTTTCCCCCAACTCCCCCCTCCAAAAAAAAAAAACCAAACCAAAAAACCCCCACACTAAACCCAAAAAACCACCCGCTTCTGAGTTAGAAAAAACACAGGCACTGGAGAGGTCCTCCAGAGGTGTCTATGTCTCTTCGTTTAAAAGGATAGAAAAATAAAAGATTCATTTATACTGGGAACCAAACTTTAAGTTGGCTAATGCTTGCAGAGAGAACTACCGCTCCTAATGACTAAAACCACAGCTCTCCCAGCTCCGTATCAGGAAGGTACAGGATATATTCCATGTAAAATTTTGCATTGTTGCTCAACAATGCAGAAGCAATAAAAATAAAATTATTTCCTGCAGAAGAATCTGGAGAGAAAATGGTTTTCAGTAGATGGTGTCCATAACAGCTTGTAACTGTGACATTCTCAGAAAGTGGCTGCATAAAATCACAAAGCTGAAATTTGTCTATACCCAACTTTTTATACTTAGTGCCAAATATTTTTACTTTATAAAACTAATTTCAATTATTATTCAACCAGTGTGGTAGGCTGACCTTGGCTGGACACCAGGTGCCCACCCAGCTGCTCTATCACTCTCCTTCTCAGATGGACAGGGGAGAGAGTAAGGTGGAAAACAACTCGTGGGTTGGGATAAGGCACTTTATTTAAAGCAAAAGTAAAGCTGGATCTTGCATGCACAAAAGCGAAGTGAAGTGAAGTGAAAGATAACATGGTTTATTCTCTACTTTGCATCAGCAGCCATGGTCGGCCACTCCCGAGAAGCAGGGCTTCAGCACACGTGACGGTTCCTCAGCAGGCAGCCATTGGAGACAATGAATGCCTGCCTTCCTGCTCCTTGCCTTAGCTTTTATATCTGAGCTGACGTCATATGGTCTGGAATATCCCTTTGGTCAGTTTGGGTCAGCTTTGGCCTACTTGTGTCCCCTCCCAGGATCTTGCTCTCGATTGAGGGAGGAATGTTACAGTGCTGATGCTGTGCTGAGCAGTAGCCAAAACACTGGTGTGTTATCAACACCCTTCTAGCTACCAATGCAAAGCACAGCACTGTGAGGGCTGCTATGGAGAAATGAACTCCAGCTCAGTCAGACCCAATACAACCAGTTACAAACATATTACTGCCATGCTCCAGTCAGTCATGCTGGTTCTTCAAGCAGTGCCACTTTGTATTGACTGACCTAGACAGACTTTGGCACCATAAGACCCAAGGAAAAAGAAATTCCCCAGTCAACAACTAGAAAAAACTTGAGACTTGATAGCCATAGCCCGAAGCTGAACCATCATTGCTGTATATGTAGCTGTGATAGCTTAATCAGGCAAGATTTTAATTTTGTATGGCTAGCTTCTAGATATTAAGCAAATTTAATAATACATAAAATGGAAGTGATCTCCTTAATAGTCACTAGTATCATCAGTGTGGCCTCATAATACTTTTCACTTTCAAGTGCAATATTCTGATGTCAATCCTATATTTCTCTAATTTTAGGACCACATTTCATCTACTTCTTCCCTGGATGATTTACAAGTGCACAGGGACAAAGCCTTGGGGACTAACTCAATGCTGAGCAGAACATCTATCTTCCTACCCATCCCCAACAGACAAAATGACAGAAGCACAGTACATATCTTTTACCTAAATACCAACCATCAGAGCCCATTACCACTTGCACTGGAGAGGAACCTGCAATGTGCCATAGAAAGTATTAGCAGCAGTCAAGCAACTCATATTCATCTTCGGATAACGAGGAAGCTGCCTTGGTGTGCCCCTGGCTTGAGGTTTCTATCCAGAGACATATCAGAAAGTCTGGCCTGTGCACTACCGTAAAACAAGGCCTTCAAAGCTGCGCTCCTCAGGACTAAAACCCCCAGACGTATTTTTCTCTTTACCCCAGGAGCACATCCCCACAGACTTTCTGTGCCCATCTGCCAGAATGCCTCCAGGGCCCCCTGAGGGCTGAACAACCCTGCCCTATATCCCTACCAAGCCTGCTTAGACCTGGACAGGCTCAATCAGAAATACTGAGACCTTTTAAGAGAAAGTGTGAGATTCCCTCCAGGAGACCTCTGGATCTTTTCATGTGACAAGTACCCTCTTCGTGTGTTAGCATGCATCATGCTCCATTCCTGCTCTCAGCCTTGCCTCAGGGTACGAGAAGCTCAGGTGGGAAGCCAAACAGATTCTGGTGCCTTTCTGCATCTGGGGGTTTGCTTGTGCCTGGTCTAATGATAGGAAGAGGAAAGCCTGAGCAATCAGGAGATTGTGTTGTTTTTATCTATTTCCCAGTAAAAGACTGAATAGCCAATACTACATTAGTAATTTGTAACTACCTGATCTGAAATGCTTTGTAACGCAGCCATTTGTTTCTCTTCTTCACATATCTTATTTCAACTCATGTTTTACACCCATTGTGCTGGTTTAAAAGTTAACCAGCAAGGCAAAATGAACTCAATTCA